CAAAAGTTTATTCATTAAAACATCCAATCCGGTAACCACAAAATAAATCGAGCGGAATAATAAATCAACGATTGTTGCACTCATGAAACTGATTCTTCTACCAATTTTGATTTATGTGATACATTCATCTCATCCATTTCTGATTTTCGAGTGAACGAGTCCGAAGGAATACACATTCATCTTCTATTCTTCCAACTTCTAACTTGATTCTCAATTCAAATCCTCATCGGTATGCGTTTCACTTTCATAGTATTCTGTTATTGTTAGATTGTTTTCCTTTCCTTAATCTATTCTAGTATTATTCTATCTCGATTCTCTATTAGAAGTCTTCTATATGTATTATCATTTATTAAATGGATATAACTAAAATCACAGCTTATAACAATTTATTTATGGATCTTATGACTCAATACAAGTCTTTGCATTGCTTTTCTGTTATTTTATGGCGTCCATAGTGATGGAATGTTGAAACTATATAGGAATTTGATGCATAACAACTTTAGAAGGTATGATTTAGGAAATAGTTTAAAAATCAATTAAGGATTTCAAACTCCTAGAATAACCAGAACTCCTTAAGCATACTGATCAATGTTATAGAAAGCACAATGTTGGGGTGATTTGATTCGTTAGTCAGATCACTCTCGATTACTTTTTTCTATTAGAATAAAGCAATGTGATTGAGTTGTCTAGTCCTCATTACCATAAATTCTTGACAGTGAATAATAGTTTTTAATAACAAGTTTGCTATGTACTTTTGGTATATTAGGTGTTATAAGAATCATATAGAAATTTTTATCAAATTCTTGTTGATTTAGGTTATTACAACATGAAAACTCCTTTATACTATTCTAAAATTTTCCATGAAGAAAACATAAAGAGTGAAATTTTATGTGAATACAATTGAGGATTATAGTAAAGGCCAAAGGGGCCCAAAATTTTGGTTCGCTTAGAGCCTCTAAACTGGTTGAGCCGCTCATGCTCCTTCTTTCCCTCTCTTTCTTCCTTTTGGCCGAATCCATCACTTGATGGAAGAGGTTGCTTCTTGGCTTTCATTCTTACATGCACCATACTCTTACAAACCATCTTTTTGACTTGTGTAAGGGTATGTTCCTTATGTCTAATACGTAAGCATTTAAAGGAGGCTTGCAAAATGGTTTCTTGAACTCTTCTTCTTTTCTCACTGAAAGTCGAGAATACCTCCCCACTCCATCCTCTTCTTGTCTTTTGAAGCTAGTGAAGATTTGGTGCTTAGAAGTGCTTCTCCTTAAGTGCTTATTTGTGATAAGTACTTAAAGGCTTAAGATGTACTTCATACAAGATGAGAACTAATATCATTGGTGACATATACTTGTTGGTAGATACATTATAGAGAAACTATTTCTTGAGTTTTTTCCATCTCTATCAACTCCCCAAAGCTAAGTGGGATCAAAGTCTTCAAATGTTGTATTCTTAACATCTTATGGTTGTCATAATCTTTCTAGTTCATGTAACTGGATCCTCTTTGTGGTTTTGTTAAAATTGTCTAAAAATAATAGTTATTTTTAATATTGTTTCCGTTGCCGCTCAAAATTGTTTTATAAAAAAAGAATCGTTTTTAGCTTCCCAAAACTCATCATAACAATCTTGATAATTGTCAAAAAGTTAAAAATTAAATGGGATTTTGGAATGGGACGAAAATTCAAAAAAAAATGCGGTTTACCGAAAAGAAGGCGTAGAATCGGTGAAGAAGACAATGTTTGCAGAGAATGTATTATTGAGTCCCATAATAACTTTTTACGTTTTAGATATAAAATTTAAGTCGTGAAAGGTGCTCATGTGGTGAACGGCAGTCATAGGTTTAATTTGATTTTAAATGACCGGTTTAATATGTAGAGGAGGCTTTTTCTAATGTTGATATAAAAGAAGTAGTCGGCTTGTAGAAGTGACAAAGCCAATGGGACATATAGTTTTTTTGTTTATGTTTTTCAAAAAGTATTTGGACATTTTGAAGAGTGATATCATCTCATTTGTTCACGAGTTTGTACATTCGACCTGTATTCTTAATGGGTGTGATTCTTCATTCATCACTTTAATTCCTAAAGAGGAGGATCTAATTTATGTTCACAACTTTAGCCCATCATTCTTATTGGGCTTCAGTACAAAATCATTGCCAAGCTGTTGGAAAATAGGTTGGCGAGGGTTACTGATAGTATTATTAATTTGGAATAGTCAAGTGGTCGTTCATGAAGTCATTGGGTGAAAAAAAAAAAAAAAAAAAAAAAACTTGACTTGAAAATCCATACAATTTTTTCTCTTGGGAGTACCTTTTTCAAATGATTTATGTTATGGGTTTTGGTTATAAATAGACAAGGTTGATCGACACTTGTTTGACTTTGGCATATACTTCAATTCTGGTAACCTTAAAATGGAGTTCAGCTTATAGAGAGGTTTGAAATATAGAACCCTTTTTTCACTTTTTTTTTCATCATTCTTATGGAAGAACTTCATATCGTTATTGGGATGTAATTGCAGGTGTTTTGTTTCATCATTCAAAATTTTGATGGGTCTACTAGTTGTAGTATGGAGTCAGTCCCTTTTTAACTACTTGGGTATTCCAGTTGGAGCTAATTTGTATCGGGATAAGGGTTATAGGAAAGTTATCAAGAAATTCCAAAAACGATTATCGAGCTGGAATTTGTATTGGGTCATGGGGGCTATTGGGATATACTATATGCCCATTTTTAGAATGACGGAAAAAAGCCAAAAGGTATTACTCTTTTGGAATATTTACGCTCGAATTTTTCTTTTGGGCTGGGATGATAGTGGAAAGAATGTAAGCCGGGATAAATATTTTCTAGCTCCTTAGTTTGTTTTTTAATCTATATAACTGAGCCGTTTAAAAAAAAAAAACATGTTATGTGGCTTTTATGTTAGGCACATTTTGGATCGCAAACCCACAGTTTGCAAAAGCCCAAAAAGAACATGGATGTTTAGACAAAGGCCTATTATTCACCATATGTTTAGACAAAGGCCTGTTATTCGAGTTTTTCTATTAAAAGCTTTCAAGAAATTGTTTTTGAACATACTTATAATTTATCGGGAATAAATAAAACGATAAATTTGGCTTTTGTTGTACGTGGAATGATTAAATGCCTACGAAAGAAAAAGGAAATAGAATATCGCACTTTTTTCCAACTTTTGCACACGCTTTTTTGGATTTTTTTTTTTTTTTTTTTTTTTTTTACTGTTTTGATGATTGGAAGTAAATTTTTATTTGCTTAAAGAAGTTTCAAACAATATCATATAAGATCCTCAAACATGTTAAATCCCACACCGCAAACACAAACAAAACGTTTATTCATGTTTTGTAACAAACGAACACGAACACATAAACAAAGATATTTTTTTTGTTTGTGTTTGTTTGTTTAAAACAATTACCTTGTTTGTGTTTGTTCATTAAAATCTTAAACAAACATAAATTGAGAAACACAAATGAGCATATATAAACATAAACAAACAAATATAAACAACATAAACATGAAAACAAGTAACCATACATAAAATAAAATAATTATACGTAAATCCTATAATGTGAAACGTTCCAAATCCAAAAATAACTCAAAAATAAAACCTAAATATCATCTTCATCCATATATTTGCAGAAAGTAGAACTTGAAAAGTTTCACAGTTTAGCCTCATCACATCCATATATCTTGTCTAAATTTTAAGTTCGTAGAATATTTAATCATTGTCATACGAACTCACGGTCTATTATTAGACCATTTATTAACACCAACATCATATTAACAATTAAAAGAATGATAAATAACAACGTATTGCATTATTTTACCTTAAAGATAATCATGATTTGTCATCATTTAAAACATCATGGAAGATCAACATATATAATATCACAAATTAACGAACATAAACAAATACTAAAACACAGAAATAAACGAGCATAAACAAACTAACAAACATAAATGAATGTTCACAAACCTAAATAAATGACAAGACTATTATTCATGTTTATATGTTTAAGTAACCAAACAAAAAAATCTTTATTCATGTTCGTTTATTTAATAAATAAACGAGCAAAGCTTCTCAAATGTTTTATATGTTTACAGGATATCTATCACAAACAAAAATCACCTAATTTACTCTCAAAGTAAAGCAACGCCACCAAGAAAACAATGGTAACTTGGTGCTTTTAGATTGAAATAAATTTCCATATGGGGACCATTATAATCAATACAAGACATTCAACATGGATATCTTTATAATTCTACCAATGAGAAAATTGAATATGATTGATACATCTCAACATAAAAATCTGTATAGTTTCATTAGCAAAGAATCAAAAACAATGACAACGTTGATATAAAAAAGACAAGATTGTGAATTGTTCTTTTACAACTGGAAATCTTTATTCCATAAATTAATTCTTGAAAATATTACAAACCATAGGAACATATAAATTTATTTTCTTTCGCACATGAAAACATGTGAATTGAATTATTTTTTAATACCTTATGTTTTACTTTTCACCATAAACTATCATTTCTTTAAATAAAAAATTAATTTGTAACGTATTTTTTTAAAATCCAAAACGATTGAATCCCGGCCTTTGACCAACTGTAAAAGGTAAACCAGACTCAACAGTTTGCTAAGATCGGGAACTGAATGGATAGCAAAAAAAAAAACTATGACACTGACTAAAGAATTAGAAACCATGTGTGTATAAAAAGATATTGAAGAAAAAAAAAAAAAAAAACAGTGGGTGTGTGTTTGGGTGGTGCAGCCTTCAAGTTACACAACCACCACTCATTTCAAAAGGAACCAAATCAAGAAATCCAAACTAAAATCCACAATCAACAACCACCACAATGTGGACTTGAAAACAATCACCTCCTCCTTCCACCCCTCCTCCTCCCTACACCACCACTCTCCATGGCCACCGGCTAGATCTTTAAACAAAAATCAGCATATTCTCTCTAAAAATATCCATAATTCCATAAACCATGACTACCTCTTCTTACTGTTTTTCTCCCACTAGAAACCCAATCACACATTCAAACACAAACTTGTTGTTTCTCAATTCAAACCTTTATCTACCAAAACACAGAAACCATGCTCCTTTCACTTACGAAACCAAGAAAGATTTCATTTCCAACATACCCAAATCCACAATTTCGCTTCTCAACATCAAGAACCACCATAAATCCACACACCCTTTTGCATCTTTATCATCTTTTGCTCAAAATCAAGAAGGTGAAGGTGAAGGTGAAAATCAAGAAAGTGCTAAAGAAGAAGGTGAGTTGCCTGGTATGGCTCAAGCTTTTCACATATCTTCCAACACAGCTTCTGCTATTTCGGTTTGCATAGCTGTTGCAGCTTTGTCTTTACCTTTGATCATGAAATCTTTAGCTCAAGGAATGGGGTTAAAGATTAAGTTGTTGTCATACGCAACACTTCTGTTTGGGTTTTATATGGCTTGGAATATTGGTGCGAATGATGTGGCGAATGCCATGGGGACATCGGTGGGGTCCGGGGCTTTGACTCTCCGGCAGGCGGTGCTGACCGCCGCGGTGTTAGAGTTTTCCGGCGCGTTGTTGATGGGGCGGCATGTGACGAGTACAATGCAGAAAGGGATTCTTGTTGCTAATGTTTTTCAAGGGAAGGATGCTTTGCTTTTTGCAGGGTTATTATCGTCTTTAGCCGCTGCGGGTACTTGGTTACAAGTAAAGTTTTCGCCCTTTAATTTCCTCTTTACTATTCATACATTCCATGCATGCTTGTTCTAGTAGTAGCTCTAAGAAGATGAGAATGATCTCATAAATCGGCTTGCATTTAACCCTAAGGGACTTGTATTGACCATTATGACCTTTGGGTTTCAGGTTGCATCATACTATGGTTTGCCTGTCTCGACTACACACTGTATTGTGGGATCCATGGTTGGGTTTGGGCTCGTGTATGGAGGACCCGATGCGGTTTTCTGGAGCTCATTAGCAAGGGTGACATCATCTTGGGTTATATCGCCTCTTATGGGTGCAGCAGTTTCCTTCCTCGTGTACAAATGCATCCGTAGGGTACGTACAAACCTCATGGATGAGTTTGAATGTGTTTTGGAATTGAAGTAATTATTTAAGAATCAAACAATCATCCGATTAAAACTAGGATTAAATATAGAACAACACAACGTATTTGCAACATTTTATCCATTTAGTCACTTACATAATTTTAACATTTTCCAGCTTACCCGGTTTTGGAAAGGGAAAATAATATGGAAATCAAAACGTACTTTCATCATTTTAGATCCTGGACTATTATTCTTATTATGTAGCCAATCAATTAAAAAAACAACAGCTCAATGGTAAAAATACGTTGTGTTTTTTACATACGCCCTCGTATCAAAACCGTGTTACCAGGAAAATTGGTTTTTTTAACGATATAAAATAGAGTGATGGTTTATTCAGAAACTAGTTAGCCGACTAAACCAGTTAACCAGACCATGGTGAAAGTAGGAATGATTTTTCGTATTTTTATTTAGAAAACTAGGAATAAGTAAATAGATTTACATTAATCTCAATAGTCATTGCTCTTAATCTCTTATATAGGTTGAAAATCATACCAAAAGACTTCTAATATTTGCTACTTCAAGGAGCAATAATCAGTTTAAATGCACATCTAAACAACTATAGAGATGTCAGGATGCACACTTTATCTTGATGTATGCCTAAATCTTGGACATCTAGTTAGAAGTTATCGGGGAGATTGGATGTGTTTTTACAACGTGATTGTTGCAACTTGAAGAATCATAACCAAAATTAGATAATCAGAATATTAAAGCTAGAGATAAGTAGGCAATTTTACATTTATCTCAACGATCTGTTTTCTTAAAGCAACTTCTAGGTGTTTCTCCAAATTTTTGACCATACACGATAAGAAAAAATACTAATCATAATCACCTATAGCCAATGCGCAAAATCAAATATTACAACTTTAAGTAACAATAATCAATTTAAAACTACATCCAAACAACCCTTATATGATGTCCCAAGTGAAGGCTTTTAAGTGACTTTACAAGCATTATTTTGATGTATACTTGAATCTTGAACCTTTTCTTGATGCATACAACTCTTTATGCAATTTTTGAATCAAAAATCCTAAATCCTGGGTAATAAAGATGGTTTGTTACATGGAACAAGACACGACTAGATAGGATTACATGTGGAGTGAATTCACGTCTTTTGCACAGACAAGAGACTGTGGGCATCCCACCTCGTTTCAAAGATTCCACTCAGTATCAGTCCAGTCCAATATACGTCAAACACAGTACAACCTGTTTTATTCTGTCTTGTCCTATGTAACAAAAGGCGTCTAAAATCCAAACTTTTCACATGTTTACACGCATTATTGCACATTTCTAACTCATTATGTTATATTTAGTTTGTTTACAGTGCTCCAAACCCCGGACAAGCAGCGGCTGCAGCTGCACCGATTGCTGTTTTCGTGGGTGTCACAGCAATAACTTTTGCAGCTTTTCCTCTAAGCAACACGCTCCCAATAGCATTCACCCAAGCTTTAGCATGTGGGACACTTGGGGCATTCCTATTCAACAACATCATCCGAAAACAACTCGGTCACCTCCTCGACAAGTCAAACTCAAAGTCAAACTCAAACTCGACACCACAAGAGCCACACGAAGAGTCAACAACCAAAACCATCGGTTTCCTATCAGATATCGCGGGGCCCACAGGCACCCAATTGGAAATAGTTTACGGGGTGTTTGGATACATGCAAATTCTATCCGCTTGCTTCATGTCATTCGCGCATGGTGGAAATGACGTTTCTAATGCGATAGGCCCTTTAGCTGCGGCTCTTTCTATATTACAAGGGGGTGCGACCGGGGGCGAAATCGTAATTCCAATGGATGTTCTTGCATGGGGTGGATTTGGGATTGTTGCGGGGCTTATGATGTGGGGGTATAGAGTGATAGCTACGATTGGTAAAAAGATCACCGAGTTGACTCCTACAAGAGGTTTTGCAGCTGAATTTGCTGCTGCTTCGGTTGTACTCTTTGCATCAAAACTTGGACTTCCTATCTCGGCAACTCATACTCTTGTGGGTGCAGTTATGGGAGTCGGGTTTGCAAGGGGGCTTAATAGTGTGAGGGCGGAAACTGTGAGGGAAATTGTTACTTCATGGGTGGTTACTATTCCAGTCGGCGCTGTGTTTGCTGTGATTTACACGTGGCTCTTTACCAAGTTCTTGCCAAATATTTTTTGAGTGTACATCGAATAAATAATTCGAATTTGAATGATTTTGAGGCTCTATCAAACACTAATTAATTACTCAACTTTTTTCTTTTATTTGATATATAATCAATGATTGATTGCCTCATGTTGGAAACCATCGTTTCTATAGTTTGGCATCTATTTATCCTTTTTCTTTGGAACTCGATTCTTATTTATTTTATTTTTTTCTTATATTTGCTATTAATGCTTCTTTACAATGCAATATAAACTGTAATAACTCATCTACACAACCTTTTCTTTTCCCCATGCAAAATCCACAAACTTTCACTCCAAAAGGAGCAATCTTTATCGGTTGTTCCAAATCTTAACCATTAGATCAAGCATAATAATAACACATTCCAAAACATAAAACTTCATAGAACTAGAAAACGGGTGACAAGGACATTGCAAAAGCAATAACTACAACAACATCATTAGTGGTTTAGAATCATAAAAGCAAAGATGAAAAAGTTTCACAATAACAGATATAAACTACATACCGATTTCATCATGTCTTCAAGGAGAGAGTTCTTGAATGGATGTCAAACTCGGCTCCCAATCAGATCCTCCCCTCCATGACTTTGACTTCACAACTGGTTGTTTGTTTGACCGAATGTGTTTCTTGACCAAAAATCTTGACCACTTCTCCTTGGATACATAGTAATCCTTAGCTGAACACACAGAATCATCAGACTCATCTGGAGGAACGGTTTGACTTTGACCCTTTTTCCCTGTTGACTTTTTCTTCTTGGAGGAGTGTTTCTTTTTCAACTTCTTTAATGTTGTCACAGGGACTAAATAGTACTTTCGCCCAGGCAAAAGCAGCTCACTTGATGACAAAACAGCTTCATGAGGATTCTTGAAAATTTCAGGCCAAGCAACAATCATACCTGGATATCTTTTCATTATTTGAAAAACAGAAACCGGTTTTTCATAAAGATCTTCTTTTCCACCTGCATGAACAACTCTTACACAAAATTCCCTTGATTTTTGGCTACTCCCAATTGAAAAGGAACCATCTTTCACCTGTTTTGGTGGTGTTCTTGAATCTTTTTCCAATGATTGGGCTCCAAAGAGTAAACCTATACACCCCTTAATCATTTCAAGAAACTAAAATCCCTTTGACACCAATTTTTTCCAACATTATAAGCCACTAAAAGAATCAATCTTTCCCTTTGGTTTTTTCTTCTTTTTGCTTATTCTATAGCCGGCTCATTTGATAAAACCAATGTAACACTATGTCTCTTTGTGATTTGTGAAAATCCATCCAACTTATCAAACAATGATCTTGTTTAAAGAATATAATTCAAAAATAACTTATGGATTTGGATCTTTGCCATGTCTGCAAACACATCCTCATGCTGATGTCATACTCCCAAAGACCAGATGACACCTGGCGTTCTAGCTTCTTTTGTCTCCCACTAATCCAATTATTATGAAGCACAAAACAACCCTTTTTCATGCATGTTGATGAAACGTTATTCGAGTCCCATAAATCTTGGTAGGCCCCATTTGGGAAGAGGTTTCTATCCAAGAAACGAACGGTTAGATTTGTTTCGGGTTCATGACACATGTCATCACCTAAACGGTTGGATCCGTTTAGCCCACATAAAGTATCATAAAAACTTGGTTGCTCTGAAAGATTTGATAAAGATGCATGTTTTACTACTTTCTCTAAAGCAGCAATTGTTGAATTATCTGAGTGTGCGTAATAAAAGCCAGAATTTAGACGTCTAGGCAAATTTATTGGCCCTACATATAAAGTAATCAACAAATTAAGTATAAGTAGAAAGCATAGAAAGCTTGCAAAGATTACAAAATGAACCCTTAAAAACATTCATATAGGTAATCTTTTTGAGGTCGACCAAACTACTTTTTATTTTAAATTGTATGGGTTTTCTCAAAATTTAATCTTTTTGATGACCCATCAAGGTTATAAACATATACTACAAATATAAAACATTGGTACGTATGCAATCCTAAGCAAATTTGTGTAATTTTAATTTGAGGAGATGATAATTTATGAACAGATATTGCTTGGAACACAAACCTGTGATTTTGTACTCATCTGATTGAGCCAAGAAAACTGCAGGACCAAAAGTAGTAAGCAGTGGCAAAGGATTCTTAAACCAATAAACATCAACATCACTCATCAGCAAGTTATATCCCAGCTTCAGAATTTCCAAAACTACCCTTGACTTTACTTTAGTTACCCGTTGAAAGCAATTTGTTCCAAAGTGACAGTCATCATAGCTGATGTTATTTGGAGCTAATTTGTCTCTAAAAACAGGCAATCCCTATAGGGGAAGAACAAAAAATCGAGTTACATAACATATATATAACCTTCAGGTAGTGTTTGGTATGATGGAATCATGGAAGGTATGGAATGGTTCATTCCATAGGAATGGAAAAACACATGGAATGGAATTATGATTCCTTCTTTTTTGTTAATGTTCATTCTTATAGGCCAACCAATAATGATCATGGAATGTAATGACTCATTCCATTACCTTGCTTATTCTACTACCCTTTCCATTCCATTCCTTTGTCATTCCATTCCATACAACCAGACACACCCTAAAATTGTAAAAAGATCCAAACTTTTTAAGTAAACAAGCATAAAGAAACTCACTTGCAAGATAGAGAAATCGTATATTTCATCGTCAAGGGCACAAACCACAAAATTGGAGACATTAAGGAGGTGTAGTCTACATACCCAACTCATTAACATATCTTTATAACTATATCCTGCAACTGCTAACACAATTGTCTTATTTTGGTCAGCACGTGTTGATAGAAGAAGCTCTAAAGAGAAAGGAAGTGATATCGGTTCTAATGACATCAACTGATTCTTTGTTGAGCAACCCGTGTTACCCTTTGGTTTTAATTTGTCGAAACAAGTAGAAAGCTTCGTATGTTTACTTGACCGAAATACCCCCAATGGATAAACTATGTTGTCTATAGTGCTTCCAAAATGATAATGTTTGTCGCATTTGAAAAGTTTGATCAAGTTGGAGTAATTGTAATGGTCTTCATGGAAGAATAATGATCCATAGAAAGCTCCCAAATGGGAATTTCCTAAATTTTCCCAGTTTCTTGCTTCTATAGTGGCATTGTTGTAAATATTATTGATAAAGAAGCTTGAGATTGTCCAACTGGCATCAAATACAAACCTAAAGTTGGAAGACAAAGCCTCGTTGATCATCCAAAGGGTGTGGAAACCTTTCCCATATAAAAATGGTGGAAGAACTCCATTATGTAAAGGAAGCTCTCCATTATTCCAAGCAATGATTGTCTTCTTGTCATCACAATGTTCCCATTTCCCATGAGAAAGAAAGTCCTGCAACTGATTGAATAATCAAAATCAGATAATCGGTTGTAAAAAAACATGGTACAAAGATAGTATTTGAAACTATTTATTATAAATTTGCATATCTAAACACCATTTTAAAAGATGTTGATATAATCATAACGTTTTTTTTTCATTCGGTTCAAAGTTTGTTGTTGTTTTCCTACCTTTTCCATTTTAACCATTTTATTGTTGTCCCCTAGCCAATGTTTTCCATCTACATCCAAGTGAAATGGGAAATCCGAGACGTTTCTTGATGAAGCAATGAAGAGCCAATCATGATCAAGTTTATGAACATAACTTAATGTTGAAAAGAAGTCTGGTAAAAGAATAGTTTTAGAATCCATGAGGACAGATATATCAGAATTTGATGCTTGTGCTCTTGCAACCATTGAGTGAAAAAATGGAGTACCTAAAAATCTAAACACATAAATAGTTTTTAGTTACAAATAAGACATTACATTTTATTTATGTTTCTCTTAAGGCAATGTACTGTATTTTCTTCATTTATTTAAGCCACTGCACTTTACTATTGTCATGTTTTAGGGCATAAACAATCACTATAATATACACTTTGTTTGTAGTTTTTGAAAGCACAAAATCTAAAACAAACATGAGCACAAACTACTTTACTTTCTAATGCAATTAATTAACCGAATTGAAAAGGGCTTACGTGAAATCAATGGTGGGTTCTACAGAAACCCTAGAACCATAGCCAAAAGAACCTGCAAAAGAGAAAACAGAAGGGTCTTTGCTAAAGAGAACAACCCTAATGTCTTGTGATAAACCAAGCCATGATCTGATTGCTAAAGTTTGTTTTCTCCCAATTGAGCCACTAAAAGGCCTAACAGCTGTAAATATTGTAACAGTGGGCCTCCTTGAACTAGTGAGGTTATTGATGTGCTCTTTCATGGAGGAAGAAGAAGAAGGTAATATTTGAGTAGTGGAATAGAAGGAAATCGCAATCAAGATAAACCCACATAGCCAAACCAAAATCAATCCAAGTTTTAGTGTTTGTAAATGGAAATTCACCATTTTTTAGACCAAAATAAGATGAATTAAAATCAAATTCTTGATCGTTAATGAAAAGCACTTAGGTTGACGTCCACCTGAGCTACACGAAAAAGGGAAGCCTTACAGACGGCTGCTTGTGAGGGAAACCCTATGCACTCTAATTGCGATTTCCCCTCTTGTTTGACTTCTTGCCCATAAAAAATAATAAAACCTTTTTTTGTGGAGCAAGAATTGGGTATAATATGATCTCAGAAGGCACGAATTTGGTTGGTGGGAGAGATCCACCGTCGATTGTTGGGATAGAGAGCCCGATGCGCATTAATTACTCATTCAACCAAGGAGACAAAGCATCAAATGCTGGTGATTCTGCCTCCAACTCCCCTAACAGGCGCGTGGATTTCAGCCGGATGGTATTGATATTTGATAATGCTGGTCACGTGCCTCATTTACCTACTACTCTTCAGCCCACAAGTGCTCATTTTCCCAGCCTATTAACGATGAGTTACCCATTTCGAATTTATCTTGCTTTGGGCCGAACAGCCCACGACATGTCCAACCAGCTCTATCCTTCGCAGAAGTTTTATTGGCTAAATCCTCCTCTTTTGCTGATCCAAATTCTTCCACTCGGCTTAATATTTCGCATGAGCCTGTTTTCGTAGATCCAACTTGCAAGGGTGCCCCAGTCAATTTAACTAACGTACTGTCGTCTAGGGGTGAGCATTTGGACCGAACCGGACCGGACCGGCTCTTGGACCGGACCGGTTATGGAGAATATTGTGGACTGTGGACCGGACCGGATGAGTCGTGTCCGTGTTCGTGTCCGGATCTGGGTCCAGGTCCGGGTTTTCCGGTTCTTGGACCCATTTGGACCGGTACAACTTTAATTGCATAGAGTACAATTCGCTAAACTAAGTTTTTGGGTTTGATACAACTCGTTAAAACAAATATATTGTTGGGTTTGATACGATACAACTTATAAAAATGATTACGTTTCCGTTTCATGCATAACTAATCTACATTGATGTTATAATGTTATAACTTGCAAAATTAATTTTCCAAATAAAAGCAACTAACATATAGATCAAGTTCACCAAGATCTCTTTCATATGAATCAAGTTCACCAAGACTGTAACTCATTGAATATAATACCAAAATCAACAAAATTATAGTCTAAATTCATCTACAAACTGTAAATTAAACGTTGGAAAAAACTGCATGTCAATCCGACTTAAAACGAATGAGTTATGGTTGTTGAAAATTTTTCACAGATTATAAAATTTTAAAAATATTGCTAAAAAGCTGAAACTTTTCAGCTTTGATAACTCAACTTTGAAGGATTGTAACTCACTGAATATAATATCAAAATCAACAAAATTATAGTCTAAATTCATCTACAAACTGTAAACTAAATGTTGGAAAAAACCGCAGGTCAATCCAACTTAAAATGAATGAGTTATGGTTGTTTAAAAAAATTCATAGATTACAAAATTTTAAAAATCTTGCTGAAAAGCTGAAATTTTTCAGCTTTGATAGCTCAACTTTGAAAGATTGTACATCATTGAATATAATACCAAAATCAACAAAATTATAGTCTAAATTCATCTACAAACTGTAAATTAAACGTTGGAAAAACCCGCGTGTCAATCCGACTTAAAACGAATGAGTTATGGTTGTTTAAAAATTTTCACAGATTACAAAATTTAAAAAATGTTGCTGAAAAGCTGAAAATTTTCAGCTTTGATAGCTCAACTTCGAAAGACTTTAACTCATTGAATATAATACCAAAATCAATAAAATTATAGTCTAAATTCATCTACAAACTGTAAATTAAACGTTGGAAAAAACCGCGTGTCAATTCGACTTAAAACGAATGAGTTATGGTTGTTTAAAAAATTCACAAATTACAAGCTTGTTTAATTAATTAAACCTATCAGTGTTAGACTCATTTGGCTTCCAGTTATCACTGTTTGGAACCTGTTTTGAGTGCTCTAACCCTAGTACATCAAATAAATAAGAGATTGGGAATAGCAGCTTAAGTTCTTAACTGCCTGCAACCGTAAACCTCCTCAAAAAGGGAGTTTACGGTCAAGACCAATGAGTTTACGGTCATGGTGACCGTAAACCCATCCCTATATATATGGAGGGTGATCACTTCAGCCATTCTTTTCCCTCCTTCAAGCCTTAGAACCGATTCTCTCTCAAAAAGCATAAACTTTTACTTCCAAATCTTCAAGAACAAGTAAGTGATTCCTTCTTTGTATGTTAGATCCTTCCTAAATCCATGTTTCACTCTTGATTCATCCAAGGGTTTCATCTTTTATCTAGATCATCAAAGATCCTCAAGAACACGATTGTGTTTTGGACCGAAAACACCTTCTTTGCCTTCAAAACCGTAAGTATCATCTTACCTTTCATGAATCTAGTTACAATCCTTCATTTTGGACTTAAGATCATCACTCTTTACTTGAACAAAAGAGTTTACGGTCTATGAATCTTCATAGACCGTAAACCCTTATAAAGGGTGTTCTTATAGCCTTTACCCTTCCTAAGGCTAAGCATGGTCCCTAGAATCCGATGCCTTTGAATGAAGCCCTTGAAAAACATCATTTGTGCAAGATTTGATGAGTTTGCGGTTGAATCTCCTTAGACCGTGAACTCCATGATTGTAAGGTCATTGGACCGTAAACACTAAGACCGTAAACAACTAAGACCGTAAACTCCAAGGACCGTGAACACTTGGACCGTGAACTCCAATGGTCATACCTCTTTGACCGTAAACTCTATAGGGTGGCCATATAACCTAGTTATGCAATCATAGGTGATTGTATCCCATAAATCTTAGAGTTTCCTAACCAATAAGGGTGTTACCCTTCTTAATTAGTTGTTTAGACACTAATTACATACACATTCATGTCATTATATGTTTATTAGGATCTTTGTGTGCTCAAGGTTACACCTGACACTCTGCAACCATCTTCCAAACATACTTCCGTATCACTCACTACAGGTGAGTTCATACCCCTTAATCTATCTTTTAAATGATTTTAAATGCTTTTATGGGGGGGAATACAAGTAGAAAACATGTAGTTATATAATCAATCACATGTGATTTATAACTGTGTTTCAAACAAAGGATTTCTTATACTTTAACTGTGTTTCAAACAAAGGACTTCTTATACTTTAAATTGTCTTGTCAATCAAATTACTTTTAAATCGTTTTATAAACTGATATCAAGTCATCAATATTCATTAATTAAACTCTTCAAATGTTTTACAAAACTTCTTTTTAAACTTATATATTGTCAAAAGCATGTCTATACATGTATAGTTATATAAGTAATGTTTAAAGGACTTAGGACTGATAACTCACTTTATTTCCTTTTCCTTGTTTGGATGTGGCCTTAGGGTATCGGTTATTTGTCCGAATGTCGTCTAAATATTAGTTATATATTAAGTATATATATGTAGATATAAAAGTACTATCAATCAGTTCAGTACCTTTGAGTAGCAAGGGCATACCTTCATCCATTCGGACTACAGAAATTACCAGTAAACTATAATAGGTATAGTTTAGGAGAATACTATCATATACAAATACTATAACGAGAAACAATACATACTATACACTATACAATAGAACATACTATGAAGAGAAACTAAAGAAACTTACACCATACTATACATAATAATATACTATACAAACATTAGAATACGATAACTAGAATGTGACATACTATTTAAGGATACAACAAGACAATGTTGTATCATATTGTAACCAGAGTCTCATGGAGGGAGAGCGGACATCGTGTGTATAGATCTATACGGGACAGACACTCCCACACCCCGACTGCTAGCTACAGTCCCAGCCGATAAGGCCAAGGGGTGACAAAATGTCACCTTACTATATTATGACACCGGAAGGTCATCAGTTATTCAGTCGTCGATCAGCATGGTTACAAACGAGTTCACATTTAAACTTGTAATTAATCGACTAAGGATTAAAGGCAAAAAGACTCCCTGAGGGGTATTGTACATTTAATACTACCTGGAGTCTGTATTTTATCACTTTATAGCCAGCAGTGTCACTGCTGAGGTAAAACATTATTTTCCCTATTACATTTACCTTGTGATCTTCTCGCATATTCATTAATGTATAAACTATATTTAGTTAATGATAGTCATACTTGGGAAAATACACACTTTTACAAGAAACAAACATACAGAACATTTGATGCCTTGGTAGAAGGCTACTTTTAGTAGAAAATATAGGATTTTCTAGGAGATACAATTATTTACTGCAAACATTTACATTGAAAACTTACAAACATGTTCTTCAAACTTACAAACATTTTCATACAAACAATGACACTAAATACTTATGGACTCACCAGCTTTAATGCTGATAAACTCTTTCAAAATAACTTGTATTCTCAGGGAACCAGTAAGACAGGTGCACTCAAGCAGCTTTTGAAGGACGGAGTGGATCCAAGACTCGTCTTTATTTTGTTTATACATTTTTGGTGTCATTTAAACCTTACAAAAGAACACACATGTATTTAATTATTCTATAAATGCAATGGATGTTGTTGCTTGTTTACTATTATGCTTTGTTATGATACTGTACATGACGTCCTCCGCCCCAGAACGTTTCCGCCGTTCCGGTTTTGGGGTGCGACAGATTGGTATCAGAGCATTGTTTATAGTGAATCGAGTATATCAACCCATAAAAGATATACAAACTATAAACGCAATGGGATTAATATACTCTGACCAAGAGTTTATACTTTTTAAATAATAAAATATTTAACTAAGTATACATACCTGCATTCATACTAAAATCAGTGTCATTAGGACAGAACAAAAGTATTACGATTGTTGAACAACACGATTCGGCTTAGAGACATATAGTCAAACCTGGGAGGATATTGCCTGATCAACTATATTTTCTGAGGAGTGACTAGCATGTGCCTAAGAATGGTTGTGGTGTTGCAACAAGTCTAAAAACTTACCAACACTACTACAACGAGAATATTAGAACAGAACATAAACCTAAAATACTATAGGAGTATTTTGTGTTACTATAGTTACTTATTTGAGAACTAAAAAGGTCTTTACTAGTAGGTCAATAGTTGCTAGGTGGATACACTAAGGTTATATGTGACTAAGGTGTTATAGACTTAGAATCTGTGACCTTTGCTTTACTTCCTGTTCCTTGTTTGGTTGTGGATTTAGAGTTAGGGTCACTTATTCGAAGGTCTATCCTGTTTTGATTACATGTAACTGGTATGCACTATGCAAGTAT